AATGTCAATGAAACGGCCCTGCAAGAACCTGTATCGCGCTGTTAGGCCGGCGCATCGAACGCACAGAAAAAAGTAGCCCTACGTACTTGTTCCAGAAGAACCGATCGTCTGCCTTCACAGGGAGTCAATTACCTCACATATGACGAATCTGTAGGACACTCACAATCTCCCAGAGTGCCTTCTCCCCGTCTTGCTGGATGGTCTGCCACTGCGCCTGCAGTCTCCGCGTAATGTCCCAAGCGTAGCTGAAGAAGAAACTGCCCCCTTGAAGATGTGACCGTACAAGAGCAAGGAGGTGCGCCTCGACGGTATTCGGCGGGTTCTGCACGGATACGTCTGGATTGAGGGGAAGGATGTCGTATTCGGTTGCCCGGTAGATGTTCTGCCTCATGATATGGCCGCGCAGCTCTCGCCCAGTGATGACGATGATGTATTCCGCTATCTATGCGATGAACATAGCACCATGAGGCAAGGCAGACGTGGCGTACACATAGCGAGGGATATCATCCCATATATGCCGTATATGGTCTTCGGAGAGCGTTCAGAGGTTACGGGTAATGGTGTATTGGGGGCTACGGGGAGTTGAACATCGATTGGTGTGTACACATAAGTTAAGATGCGTACCATTGAGTACAATATCTCCAGAATTCCGGTAAATGGTCAAAGAGCGAGCCCCCACCGGCTCGGCGGGGACGAACGTGTAAGTCTCGTTCCCGTCGCTGTACCTATGGCCCAATACGTCAGCACGAGGCGTTTGCCCGACAGAAAGAAACATACAAGGTCAGTCTCTGATGCAAAGACTTCATGGTGGTGAGTGGTGGTGAGGAGGGAGAGGAAAGGAATGATGATGCACGGCTGCGTACGGTCAACGCGCGAGGGCGCAGGCAGGGCTGCAGCGCGCCGCGCCGTGATTTCGCGCCACACGCGCCCAGGCGGACAGGTCGCCAGGATTGGTTCGCCTGGTTCGCGCCCGACCACGATCGACCATGGTCAAGCTCACACCCGAGCTCATCGAGTCTGTGCCCTCACAACTCAACCCCATAAAGGAGCGGCAGCTCGACCTCAGAGGTGTGTTTGTTCCGACGCGCGGCCTGGGACGTCTGCTGGACTGAAAACACTCTGCATTCTATAGGATGCACCATCCCCGCCATCGAAAACCTTGGTATCACCAAGGTGCGTCCCCCTCGCTCCCCAAAAGACTCGCGTTGGGCTGAAAGATGTGTTAGGACCAAAATGATGCTATTGACTTCACCGACAACTCGATCACCGTGCTCGGGAACATCCCCCTTCTCCGTCGTCTCCGCACACTCCTACTCGCGAACAACCGAATATCCTCCATCTCGGGCTCCCTCCACCTTTCTGTACCCAATCTCACCACCCTTGTCCTCACCAACAACAACATCGCTGAGCTCGGCGATCTCGAGCCCCTCAAAGACGTCAAGTCCTTGCAGTATCTCTCCCTCTTGGGGAACCCCGTGCGAGAGAAGAAGTGGTACCGCGAATGGCTCGCTTGGCGCATTCCTAACCTGAGAGTACTTGACTTCCAGAGGATCCGGGAAAAGGTGCGTCTTTTCGTGTATCTACGACTCAGACGCCTCATGGATAACACAACACCGACTCGCAGGAGCGACAAGCCGGCCGCTCCCTCTTCTTGACCGCAGACAACCTACCTACGCAACTTGCGACGACGCTCTCCCAGACCGTCTCCACGCACTCGTCAAAACCGCCCGTGACGTCCGACGAGCCAAAACCCGCAGTGCAGCATGGCAAAGCGGGCAGGCTCATGTCGAAGGAGGAGGCGGACAAGGTCCGCGAGGCGATCGCCCGCGCGACATCCGTCGAGGAGATCCGCAGACTGGAGCGGCAGCTCAGAGAGGGATTCCTCCCAGGCATGGATTCTGTCGGTGCATGACGATGTGATATGGTCCCGTGTACGATGAATGTATCATTGGTATCGATTCTGTTTTTTGTCCCGTTTCGCCTTTGCGCACATGGTGTAGAAGAGACATCCGTCCTATTCCATTCCACCATTTCACAGAACAAGAACAACAGACGAGCGTTATATCCGGTAGGTATACAGGGAGCAATACAACTTAGAAGATGCTCTTGATCCCAGTGCCGTTGGTTCCGATCCACAGTCCGTGGAACAGCAGTGCAAGGAAAGCCGTGAGGTTCGCGAGAGAGCTGATGCCGTGCAATTGCGCGAAAGCCTTGTTCAAGGCCTTCATATCCGCAGACACCTTGTAAATGGATCAGTTTACGGTGAAACAGAGCTACTATCACAGAGACGCACTCCAGGCTCGTTGTATGCCTTTCCTTCGGCCTTCTCGAGCTTATGACGCTTGAACATCGTCCTAAAACCGGATACTCAATACCAGTCTTCCACCCCAACTCAGTACCCCAAATAGCACTTACTTGCTAGTCAGAGGTCCGATCACGGAGTGGTTCGCAGCCTGGTTAAGCAAGACCGTCGCGAGCACATACGCCTGCGCAACGTCTCCATCCGTGTAGTCGAAGTAACGCGTGAGCACGTCGGGATGCGAGTACGTCCAGAGCGCAAGCAAGCCCGAGGAGAGCGCGATGCTGATGATGAAGTAGATCGGGAATGTGCGGTGCTGAAGCGTCCCAAACTGCTGGCGGGGGAGGGTTTTGAAGGCGATAGTTCCTAGCAGGCTCGAGTTCAGGACCCGGGAGAGTACTCGAGAAGACAGGGTAAAGATACGACGTACCTCCGATAAAGGTGACCCAGAGGGCTGCAAGGAAGCGTTCAGACCGTGACGTCGACAGGGAGTGAGCCTACACTTACTCGAGCCAAACAGCGCGGCATATGCGACCTGATAGAGGCCCTGCGCGTTGAAGAGCGCGACAAACGAAGACCAAGAGATCGTCGTCATGTCTGCGTCAAGTCCAAGCACGGTCCCAGGGTATACACTATACGTCAAGATAAAGAGCGCAGGGTGGCCGCTGGCCGACCGGTGGTGTCGCAGTATATAAGGACGCAGAGGCGACTACGCAAGCCAGATGAGTCCGAGCTTGGGAACGGGAACGGGTAAGGAGCGACCCAGACACCGGGACGAGGCCCGTGTGAACCAGCAGCACACCACAGGACGCGCTTCCACCGCGCGATCGAAATCACGCTCACGTGTGCGGCGTCCCCGGCCTCCTTGCGCGGGGCACTCGCACCTTGCGAAGTCGGCAAGGTGGGGAAGTCAGCTCGCATGACTGGGGAAGCCCCTCTTACATGAGAGGAATGGTCACAGAGGGTGTATGAGAGAAGCGGGGGCATCAGGTACATCCAGGTATGAGCGACAGCGATTGCTAGTACACAGAACATGATACATGGGTGGAAAGTTGCAGAGACAGATACGGAATTGAAGCTTTGACTATGCGAAGCGAATACAGAGCATGCGGGACGCAGCATGGTGAGTGAGGACGGTCTTTTGCAGAATAGGCTCAGTGGTAGCGGTCGAAGTCGGTTGGTCGGCCCATCATTCCTCTTCGTCTTGCACCCATACTGGGGCGGTCGTCTCGTGATGTGGTTAGAACAACGTGCTTGTCGACGAGCTAGATATATGTGTTAGGCAAGATTGTTACAGTGAGATGGGGTCGACTCACATCGTTCAATAGATTGGCGGACTTGGTCAGTGTCGCAAGGTAGGCAGTTAACTGTACGTCTTCGTATTCCTTCTTACAAAGGTAAGCAAATGTTGGTGGTACGAATATGTCGGAAAGTGCTCACGGTGTCAAATTCTTCCCTGAACTCTTTGTTTTCACTCGCCGGGAGAGAAGCAATGAGCGCAGAGAGTGCACGAAGAGTCGCATGATCCTTCTTCGCGGAGCCTAAGAAACATCGAGAATAAGACATGTCGCTGCGTAGAACAATGTTGGAGGACTAACCTGCAATTGCGTCCGCTACATACTTGACCAGGAGTAATATCCGGTCATGCAACATCTTCACAGCCGCGCGTTGCGTTTGTAGATGTGATTCCACTGCAGTGATGGTTAGGGCCAACTGCGGGGGTGACATTTCGGTGGATAGAACGTACGACTGGTGCCTCCGGACCCCCCCTTCGCGGTCCAATCTACGGCAATACGCTCCGCCTCACCTGTCTCGACATTGTATGGCGCCTCAATAAACACAGAGCGCGATTTGCGATCGCGTATTTCGATTGTCGGCTCGTACGCTTTCAGCGGTAATGATTGTCCTGATGCGTCTGCCGAGGCCGCAAAGACGGTGGAAGGCTGAAGAACAAGTAGGAGTGGCGTCGAGCTATACGCAGTAAACTACAAGAAAGATAAATGATCGGGGTACGCATGACAGGCGGTAATACACACCTGTTCATGAAGAGCGATGTGGCGAGCGGATGGTCGCTCTGCAACGGTGTACCACCCAATAAACTCTAGGGACGGGAATACTTGCTTGTCTGAAATGCTCGGCAATCAGTGGTATGAAGCAGTCACAATAACACCATATACATACATTGTTCCTTGCGGGCAACCAGGAACCCCTGGTCCACAGTTACACCGTCATCTTCCACCGCCAGTTCAAACGTGTTTACAATCTCGACGTCTCGACCGGTCTGAGTCCCGAGCAGTGCTCCAAGCACTGTATTCACATCGATCAGCAAGCTGAAGGTGTCGCCGGAGCGCACAAACCCCACCGAAAGGCACTCTGGTTCTTGTTTGGAGCCGCAGACGAGTGAGATGCTCGGAGATGTTAAGAATTGGGAGCGGGTGGCTGCAGCGTACGCGTCAGTGGCGGCAGAATAGAGCCTAAAGACGTGGAGACCGACAGTGCAATGGACAACCCGGAGGTGGTGGTCGAGGGGGGTAGAACGACGGGAAGTTCGTCAGTATCCATGGAGGTCATCGTGCAAGTCGCCGGTGAATGGGTCGTCGAGAGTATCAAGCTTGAAGTACAGAATAAAGCGATACCGGCCGCGAGTGTCCTCGGATGCCGAATTAATGCAAGCGCCCAAATAGCAAAATCTCCAAAAGGATTCCCACTAGCCGACTCGAACGACTGGCCTCGTCATAAGCAACCGACCGCTTTAGTCGGAGTATACTAGTGACGCGCTCTACCAACTGAGCTAAGCGGGAGTTGCTTTCCATAAGAACGCGTAAAATATATTTCGTCAAAGTTAAAACGCGCTCAAGCCCACCCTAAACCGTCATTTGTGCGACGCGTCTCGAGGTTGGCCGAGGCGGATGAGCGCGTGTCTCATCCTGTCTCTGTAGTCTTGCCCACACCGCTTCCCCCGTCGCAGACATGTCTGGTTTCGACGCCGACCGCGTATACTCTGTCTCCGTTCACGACGTCCCAGAGCCCACCGCGCCGGAACTTCCGTCCCAAACTGAAAAGCTTCTGCTCGACTTCCTCCTCCAGTACCGCGTCGGTGGCGACTTCATTTACAGGTGAGTGTCACTACACGCGCCTCAAGATGTGATACGTTAATTGCGTGTAACAGGGACAAGCTACGAGCCAATCTTCTACTCAAGCAGCACCAAGTAGAGGTCGATCTTCGACATGTAGGCCTATACAATGATGAGCTCGCGCACGCCATTCAAGAGAAACCAGGGGAGGTTCTGCCACTGGTACGTCGACGCGCCTGTGCGCGCAACGATCGTCTTGCTTATCAATGCATACCATACAGTTCGAATCTGCAGCCACCAAGGCCGCACGGAGCATCCTGTTCCCCCTCACGAGCAACTCTGAGGCAGCACAGCAGTCAATACCCGGCATTCAAGTACTCATCAAGTCCGGACTCAATCTTCAGCAGTTCCGTGATCTCACTGCTGATACCATGAACAAGCTCGTCCGCATACCCGGGATTGTCATCTCTGCGTCGGTCCTCTCGTCGCGCGCAACAAAACTCCACCTCCAGTGCCGTGCATGTCGGTCAACAAAGATTATGACCCCTGCTGGGGGCTTGGTGGCTTGGGAGGTGGCTCGGACAGGGGACTTCCGCGAGTCTGCGACGCACCTGAGCTTGAAAACCAGAAGAAGGATTGCCCACTCGATCCGTACCTCATCATCCACTCAAAATCATCGTTCACCGACCATCAGACCTTGAAACTCCAGGAAGCGCCTGACATGGTACCCGTCGGAGAGTTGCCCCGTCACATGCTCCTGTCGGCCGACAGGTATCTTACTGGCCAAGTGGTTCCCGGCTCGCGAGTCATTGCAACAGGTATATATTCGACGTTTCAGTCCGCTAAGAACGTAAGTTTCAGATGGTACTACTTCTTTAGAGTCTAATATTTCTCTAGCGATCGAAAGGCGCAGCAGCTCTTCGAGACCCATACCTCCGCCTGGTCCATCTAGAAGTTTCGTCACCAGCAGCAGGCGGCGCGGGCGGCGCAAACCCCTTTGGGGCTCAGTTCACACCCGAAGAAGAGGAAGAATTCGGTGAGATGGCCCGCAGCGAGGGCTTCTACGAACGGTTTGCAAAGAGTGTTGCACCCAGTATTTTCGGCAGCTTGGGTACGTTGTCGTCACCCAGCCAAAATGTCCCTGCTAAGCGTCCTACAGACATCAAGAAGGCCATCACATGTCTTCTAGTGGGTGGCTCGAAGAAAATACTACCGGACGGTATGCGACTGCGAGGCGACATCAACGTCCTACTTCTCGGTGACCCGGGTACTGCAAAGAGTCAACTGCTAAAATTTGTGGAGAAGGTGCGTGCGGTATGTATCAAAGCCCCCCGGTCTAATCTTACTTTTGTCTCAGGTTGCCCCTATTGCGGTATACACCTCCGGCAAGGGTTCTAGTGCAGCGGGTCTGACTGCCTCGGTCCAGCGGGACTCTGTCTCCGTGAGTACCAACAATATACATTTAACTATGTGTCATTGACAAAAAATCGCGTCTTTCAGCGTGAGTTCTACCTCGAAGGTGGTGCCATGGTGCTTGCGGACACGGGTGTCGTATGCATTGATGAGTTTGACAAGATGCGGGACGAGGACCGCGTCGCGATCCACGAAGCTATGGAACAGCAGACTATCTCCATCGCAAAGGCAGGCATCACAACCGTGTTGAACTCACGCACAAGCGTTTTGGCGGCGGCCAACCCTGTGTGGGGTCGATATGACGAAGGGCGGAGTCCTGGAGAGGTAGGCAGAGTTTGTCACAAACTGAGAGGCATCCCAGGCTCATGGTTTCTCCACAGAACATTGACTTCCAGACTACGATTCTGTCGCGTTTCGACATGATTTTCATCGTAAAGGATGAGCACAATGAACAGCGCGATCGGGTATGCATATTTTTTCCTGTACTAACTTGGCGCATAACTAAATGGATCCCCCACAGATGATTGCGAAGCACGTTATGAACATCCATATGAACCGACCAAATCAGGGCACAGATGAGAACGGCGAGGCCGTCGGTGATATCGACCTCGACAAGATGAAGCGGTACATCGCTTACTGTAAATCGTACGTTCTGTTCCACCCGCATATATGCATGAGCTGAGCTTGATGGGACGAATAGGAAATGCGCACCACGCCTATCAGCAGAGGCTCAGGAAATGCTGAGTAGCCATTTCGTCTCCTTGCGCAAGCAGGTACAGCAGGTCGAACAAGACAACGACGAACGAAGCTCCATCCCCATCACGATTCGGTACGCCCCCCGCGTTGTTCCCAGACTATCCTCTCTGATTTTGCCCCCTCCTTCGTAGTCAACTGGAGGCTATTATCCGTATCTCCGAATCGCTCGCCAAGCTCACGCTCTCGCCTGTGGTGCAGAACCACCACGTCGAGGAGGCGATCCGGCTGTTCAAGTTCTCGACGATGGACGCCGTCTCCGCCGGCTCAGCCGACGGGCTCTCGCGTGGCGCGCTCAACGAGGAGATGACCAAAATCGAGAAGGAAATCCGCCGCCGCCTACCCATCGGCTGGAGCACGTCTTACCAGAGCCTCGTCCGCGAGTTTGTCACCCAGCAAGGCTACTCGAGCCACGCGCTCGAGCGTACGCTGTTTGTTCTTGAAAAGCGAGAGATTATCAGGTTCTCGGGGCAGAAGAAGGTCGTTCATCGGTGAGTCCTTTATGTGGATGGACACATTAATACTGGTCTAACCCGTGAGTACTCGTAGGGTTGGAGTATAGTCTTGGTTTCTGGCTGTTGCTTTTCTCTGTGTATGGATGTCGGCCTGCTTGCTTTGCTGTGTAGATTACCATGTAGCTGTATATTGGCGCTATGCGTATTGTATGTTGTGTACTGTCCTTGTTGAGGCGGCGCGACCCACTCAGGCGGGACGTGTTGTGTACCCCCAGAGTAGCCAAGCAGTATAAGTCGGAAAACCCCTGGCTGAGCGTCACGCGAAGCCCATACACGCCAGATGCATAGTCTGCTCATGGCCCGATCGCGCGCCGCGGATGGTCTAGCGAAGGATAGAGAGGTTTGGTGACCGTTTACTCGATAGTTCTAGGAGCCTGCACATTCGGGTCCAGTCGCCTCGGCGGGAAGTTCTCCAGCGGCTCCCTGCATACATCGGCACGTCCTTCAGCCACAGTCTACCTCCTCCGACAACACACAAGGTTTGGACCACATGGTACTCACGTCCTGACGTCCCACACATCCTCGCTGCTCTTGCCCGCTCTCCGGTGGGCCCACCACTCCGCACGGCGACGGATCCAGACGTCGCGCTTCTCCTCGGGATGCATGCCCTTGAGGCTCATGCAGAACTTGAATTCCTCGAGTTTCGGCGTGCAGGTCGCCATCTCGCCATACCGGTACAGCGACCGCGCCTGGGAGCTAATCACTGTAATGATTTTCGCGTTCAGGGTGTTTGTGTCGTGTACGTGGTGCAGCACTTGCCGTTACATAGGAGGAAGTCATCAAAGAGTTTCATGCATCCTGGGATGTCCTCGGCAGTGGGGTGAACTTTGCGGAGGTACTCCTCTTCTTGCTTGATGGTTTCCGGGTTCAAAGGCTCTTCGTTAGGCATGCTCGAGACTAGAATATGCAACAGACGAAGTCTAATAGACCGAAATCTGTTCAGAAAGCAGTGAAAGTGACCCTACTAGAGTCTAGCCTGAGACCGGTAACAGAGGCTCTGATGCTCAAGCGCTCATGTCGTTCTCTTCTCACGCTCGGTGGGCACCGCTTCTCACACAAACTCCAAGTTTGGCGAAAGCACTCAAGTTCAGAGACCATATACTCAGCAGCGCATTCATCGTTGCAGTCGGCGTTGCACGGTGACTGGGAAAAATCAGGACTACTTCTACAACGCGAGTTATTCGATTCCTACGACTGTACTCAAAAGGGTGGGTCACAACTTCCCCGGCACTTTCGACTTCGCATACACCATCTCCTCGAACCGCCTGGTCATCGCGACGACTTTAGCATCGCCGGGAGGTACCAGCTGCCCAAACCAGCAACCAGCCACTCCCGCCTTCCTGTCGATCCACCACGTCAAGTTCGGGTACCCACCCCATGTTACCGTCCCCTCGCCTTGCCACCCATCTACGTCTTCCACAAACACCAGCCCACCGCACGCATAGTCGAGCTTCGTCCCCCTTGGGGCGCCACCCAAAGCTAGGCGCGCTGGCTCCTCTTTGAGAGCCTCCACCAGCCACTCTTTCGATGCCGCGGACAGACTGGGCGCGAGCAGCCTCTCTACGCCAGCCGAGCTCAGCAGCCGCCCGTCATCGCGCAACAACGATTCGAGCAACACCGAGTACTCCCGCGCACACCCATAGAGGCCCTGCCCACCCAGAGGCTCGTCCGCTACCTCATACGCATCGCGCCACAACCTGCTCGGCGCGACGACCTTGCCCGTCTCCGCATCGCGATCAGACACCGGCACGCGCCGTGCCGCGAGATCGGGGCGTGCAGAGAGGGAGAACGTGAAGTCGGTGAGCCCAAGTGGTTCCCAGATGTGCGCGCGGAAGTAGTCCTCGAGCGAACGGCTCCCGGTCGCGCGCGCGACGAGCAGCCCCGCCCAGTCGTGTCCGCAGCCGTACATCCACGACGTGCCCGGCTCGAAGAGCAGCGGGAAGTTGTAGCGCTCAACGACGGTTCTACCTAGGGCACGCTCGTTGCGCCATCGCCGCCATTGCACGAGGAGGGGGTGCGAATCGTTGTACCCGAACCCCGAGGCGT